TGCAATGCTTGAGAAATGTTTCCAACACCCACATTTCCGCATACTGTAGCCCGACCCCGCCTACTGGTGCCTGACTCCATCCAGCCGAAAAGGTATATAAACGGCTCTACGGTTAGCTGGCTCAGTTCACAGCAAGGATGCCTAAGTCACCATGTCTTTTCCTCACATCCATCTCATGTAGTAGAAGTCATATGATAACCTCTTCACTCATAAGCATCCTGATCGCGAGTGATCAAACTGCGCCTATTCATTACTTGTATCATTGTTGTATTAAATGTACAGTTCTACTGTTATGCCATTTATAATAAACGGGTTAATTATCCAAGTTCGAAAAGTCTGGCATTGTGAGTGCTAATCAGAAGAAGTCCCGCGTGGCACAGACAAAGGCGAGCAGCAAATTTCGACCGAATCTTCTTAACTACTTGGTGTTACGTTAACAACGAGCCGTTCTAACATGTCGATCATTGTTTTCCATTTACCAGGCGACAAAAAACAAGCTAAAAATTTAACTTAGTTTACGCGGATGCTATACACTAGGTAATACTATTTAATTACTATTTAATTAATTGCTAGAAATTAACTGATACTATTTTATTTTGGTGGCCAGCAGTAGGATCTACTAAACAGGTTGTAGAAGAACGGACTAAAGTCATTCTAGATTGAGAAATTACCAGATAGTGTTAGGGCTACCAAAAATTATAGTATAACAATAAAAACAATTAGACTATTTATTGCTCGAAAATATCTACTTCAAACGAAACAAGACGAGGTGCTAAGGAAATGCTGTTTTTTACAGTGCTCGTAACAGTGTACTTAATTTATGGGATTACTACGCTATTCCATGACGTCAATCCTGAATGGACGTCTGTGAGTGGAAGTGGTTTTCCACGGCGTTGTTGATCTCCAACTGGAGAGCCGCCGCCGGCGCTTCAGACGCGGCCAATTTCGTGGTGGATTATCAATTAATAACGCTACCAGTGCACTTAAATTCTTCGTTCTTTTTTTTGGAATACATTTAGATTTTTTGGAATAATTTTGAACTTTAGAAATTTTATTACTATGAGAAACTTTAAAAGCAACACCAAATCTAAAACAATTCGTTAATAAACCGACTGCTGTATTCCTCAAATATCTAAAAAGTGAAAGATCTCTAGCCTAGCAAACAATCAAAAGCACCACCATAGTGTGAGCACCAAGCGATGCAATTTCTTTGCAAAACTAGCGTTAAATTTCGATGTAGCTACAACCCAATGGTCAGAAGTGTGTCTGCGGTGAGGAACGTACGCTCAATCAGCGTTTCTGGCGACTATAGCGTTTACCGCCACACCATGCCAGTCCTTCGTTTCGCCTATGTCTCAGCCGTGTCATTGACCTATGAGCGCTGTTAGCAATTACTCGTCAACAGAACTGATCTAAAGAGCACAAATTAGCATAAACCCAGTTAAGCTAAAGCGATGGTATAAATCACGCGTTAGTCTCCGGAAAGGGTAATAGCGCGTTCGTTTCCCGCCGCAGACACCTGCGGTCCGGAGTTTGCAGATATCTCAGCAACACTATGGTTATGTCACATAATCACCTGTTTCTCCTGTAGTCCTGTTGATTGTCGAGTGACTCGAGCGAGTGCCAGTAAATCTTCCACTTTTCCCTATCGCGTCCAAAGGTTGTGCTCGCTGTAGGCACTCGTCGATCATCACATCTTTCTTCAAGGCTCTTTGTGAAGAACTCCGACCATCGAGTCAGTGGTCTTTCTGCAGTGCGTTTAACACCACAAGAATCCAGTCGCTAACGGCTGTTGTCCATCGGTTGTCATTTACATTTATGTCATATTATACCCGGCCATAAAAAATTATTAGGAAGTAAATGAAACCGGCGTTCAACCCGGCTAGTACTTGTTGCTCTCATAAGAACGACGTCGTCAGCGAAGTAAAAACTGTATACTTATCGGCCATCGGTTGTCGCTCATATTTTATTTTTATTTAAAGTGTACCCATAATGTTATTGAAGGTGGCGCTAAACAATTTAGCGAGATGGCGTCGCCGTGCTTAAGCATTCTTTTGATGTCAACGTTACCATCTTTGTAGAGTGGTGATATTTTGGCTATGAAATTTCTAAGAAGCTCATAAAGAATCTCTACGTTCTGACCAAAGACGCCCTAGACGTACAGGGCTTCCGTGACCGTCTCTGTCTTAGCTGAGTCAGAAGCCTTTTCAACTCGATTCGTTGGGCACTGCGAATGCTTGTCCCAGCCTCCGCAGCATCAATCATTACTGCTGCTTTTCTCTCTTTAAGATTTTTATTTATCGAATGTTTGCACCGTTTTGAAAGTTCGGACTTTAGTTCGCGGTTGCCTGCAGCTCATGCGATTCCACGTTGGCGTATCAGCTCGAGTGTTTCTGAAGACGGGTGTCTCTTGGTGACTTTAGAACTCTCTGTTTTCATAGCGCCAACGTGAAGATGGTGAATGAGCTCATTGCAATCTTCGTCAATGTTATTGACAACGGCATTTTTCCAACAGCCAACTATTGAATTGAATAAGCTCCCGATCATGGTGGTTCTAGGACTTCGATTTTTGAATTTAATGCCTTTTCCTCCTTTCCGCGAGAAATAGAATCTTACGCGAAGAAGGCGATGGTCTGATCTCGTGTAAAATTTTGGGGCAACAGCGACGTCGGTTAGGCAAAACCTTTTATTCACTATGATGTGGTCTGCTTCGTTATGGTACTCCTCACTGGGAAACTCCCACGTACAACGTTGAGGGCCCTTAAGAATTGCGAGGTACCATGAATGGTTTTGGTCGAAATGGTGAACTCAAACAGCTGCTCATTCTGCTTTTTCCATTCTAATCCGCAGATCACAATATGAAGTTTTCCACACCTTCTCTTTTGCCTAATCTTAACAGTCACAATTTTATAGCGGTAAGTAAACGACGAGTATTGTAAGCCGATATTGATCCACATCTCTTCAATCGTAGACGTTCAATTCAGGTTGTTAGTTGATCGATTAAGCAGTCTTCATCGCTGAACTCGTGTCGACGAGAATGCCGATGCAACCCACTCCTCTACTGTCGCATGTTCCGAGGAACATTTTACTCCGCTGACATAGTCGGCGTTGAATGGATGGCGTCTCTTCGTCTTCGCCAGTCCGATGACATCCTACATTACCCTTCTCGCTTGCGCGATCAAATCTGTGTCGAGGAATCGGAGGCAAGCGTGCGTGCGCTGTGGGCACAGATCGTCGCTCTAGTCCTTTCAGGCTTATGCAACCTATTCCTTGAGGAAAGCGTTAGCGCAGTAGCTGGATACTCCCTGCGAAACGCATGGGATCGAGTCCACGCTCTGGTTTCAAAAAACGTTAAACCGCTCTGGGGTCAACAAACTACTACCCAACTTATGTAGGACGACAGCAAGACATTGGCCAGGCAAAACCTGCTTACTATAAAGTGGTCTATTTTGTTGTGGCACTCTCCATTGAAAGAATTCCACATCCAGCGTTAAGCGTGGAGCTGTAGGAATTGCGATTTACCAAAGAATGGTCTTGGTCGCCATAATTAACTCGGACAGCCGCTCAACCTGTTCGCTTCATTCTAATTCGTGAGTCTCAGTGTGACGTTCTTCAAGCGTTCTTTTCGTTCCAGTCTTAACATTAAAATCTTTAATGATTACGTTGAAAAATGTATGGCCTTTCCTGTTAAACTTCTCCAAGTCCATTTAGAACGCTTCGACTTTTTTTCCGTCGTAGTTTGATATCGGCTCGCAAACGACGAAGATTGTCAAAGCGGCTATTGTTCCACTTCGTGTTGATGCGAACTCCGACGCCATCGACTCCTCTACTGTCGCATGTTCCGAGGAACACTTCTGCTCCCGTGTCATAGACAGCGTTGAATGAATAGCGACGCCTTATCTCGGCCAGGCCGATGACGTCGTACTTCATTCTTCTTGCTTGCATGAGGAAGTCTTCTATCGAGGTCTCGGATGGATGTGTACGTGCATTGTAGGTACAGATCGTCACCACAGTTCTTCGTGATCCAGGCAGCTACCATTGTCCAATCGTGAGCCACGAGATTTTATCAGCCTCTCTGTACTCGTTCTACCCAACGCTGTGAAATTGGGAGCTCTTTTGAGGTCAGGGAAATAAAGCTCGTTTTTTCTAACTTGTTCATTTTGATACCCACGTATAGCATGTTGAGCTATGAACGGGGGCTGGATGTACTCACGGATAGCTTACCAGGTTCGTCCAGAAAGTACATGGAGCTTATTTGCTGGAAACGACACCTGATCGCCTCTCATATACTGTAACGAAATCGTTAGCGGCGAAGTGTAGCGGTTCAGATTGATGTAGAATATTAGCCACGCGGGTCTTTTAGCTGTTGTAGTTGATCTACCAGCCTAAAACTTAGGTTATTAAACCTTTAATACATAAATACAACACTAACAGCATGATAGTAACGATAGAGAAGTACTGGTAGAGGAATAACACAAGTTAGAGCTCTGAGGTGCTAAGGCCTGTAGTGAAATGAGGCTAAACAATGAGGCAATGGCATTCAAACATTATTATACCACTAACACAATATTAACAATAATAATGATATTACAACGAAGTAGCCTTTGCTTAACCGTAAGCGATGCCGCGCCGGGTCTATTCGGGACGGCGCGGCGGCTGAGGGAGACAGTATGCTGGGGGCGGAGGGAGGAGACTGGCTGTGTTTCGGCCAAGCTAAGATTTTAACATTATAGCGATGAGGAGCATTTTAGTGGATCGATGAGAACTGTAGGTTACATGAGCTTGACGGTGCTATGGACAGTGAGTGATAAGTCATCTACGGAACACAGTCAGGCGGCTGGTCGTGAATAACGCAATGTCAGCAACGTGAACTTTGAGCATCGATGGGTGCCACCATTGCCTAAGGGTCAAATGCCAGTATGATAAATGGCTACAAAACTGGTAAGCCTATAGCGGCTTAGCAGAATTCATAGCTTATGGTTGGCCGCTTAGCGGCATTGTACAAATTGCGTGTACATTGTGGGAGGAATGGTACATGCCACCGATGGCGTTGCTAACAGAACGCATTTGGTAACACCCGCCACCACTGAAATCGCACCGTAGACCAGCTGAGAAACAAGATACAATAATCTGCTGATTACTGAATGATGAATGTGAATGTGTGAATGAATGTGATTGAATATGTATGAATGACTATGACTAAGAATGAGTTGAGGTGATTGAGGATGTGGTTGTAAGGAGCGGATTATCCGCGCTACCGATCGGGCTTAAAGTGAGTGATGGCACGTCTCCGCCGTCGAAGGCACCTGGCTTATATCAGCTGCGGGAGCCGCGAGCGTATGCAACCGCGGTTAATCTGGATTGTTGATCCTGGACGGCACTAGACTGTACCTAACTGCCTGAAACATCAAACGTCATTAGCTTCGTTGTTTCGCAAGGAAGTAGTAACTGTTCCATGGTTACGCCTCCTTCGGATAAGCCATCGTCGCTATGCTACTGAAGTCAAACCTGAATCGCTATTGTGCCTGAAACATTGCGCATAATTGATCAAGAACATTAGAAAAGGTTACATTGCGGTGTTTGATGTGCGATTGCGAGTGCGAGGAGGCCATATATGGACTTCAAATACTATTATTTAGATAGATAGAGAACTTTCCAAGGGAGAAGTTCTCTATATATACTTCTCTATCAACCGATTACAGGCATCTGGATGAATTGGCTCGTAGAATACAATGCGAATAAGCGAAAACGCACCCACACACACACATGCATGAATACGCTTAGCAAATACAGAAGGTATGTGCAAATTAGGCGCAGCAGAAACAGAGAGCGCTTTTTCTGGATCCACCTGCGTCTCAAGGAAGCAAATGTCGCTTTTGGTTTTCGATGAACCCCAAATCCGTCAACTGGGAAGCGCCACATAGGCTTGCGGCTAAGCGGCTCTGGATCCCTCTTATGAGGCAGATCCGTGGTATCTCTAAAAAAAAGCAGTAACTTTTTCAAATACCCAGTTTCCTTTATCCGTAGATGAAGACAGGAAACGTGCCGAACACACTCTATTTTTGACAGTTTTGTGTACAAAACGGGGTCCTTGATTGTTGATTCTTGACGTAGGTCGCAGTTCCTCAATCTTTCGTTTATTTGTGTGATCCGAGATGTCTCTAGCACCGTCGTTTCGACTGCACATTCAATAACAATGAGTGACGCTTTATTTTGCTTAGATAATGACCAGGGTTCTGATGCGTACGTTAAAACAGGAACAACCCCGATGTCGAATAGATTTGCGCGGAGTTGTTGTCTGTTTTCCTCATTGTATCCTGGATGGCCCTGAGAGCTCCCCAATCGGCTCGCTCCCTCTTCATCAGTTTTAGAGCTCAATCGTCTATAATATTCAGTTTCTGACTCAAATAGACGCGGTTTATCATTCAGAGATATTCACTCCCTTAAGCATGATTAGGACATGAGATCTAGTCGAAGTTCAATTATTCCACCAGCTTTATCAAAGCCGTAAAACATTTGCTCCGCTTAGCTAATGTTTGGTGTTATAAAAACGAAGCAAAGCGAAAATGGTATAATTGCTGGCAGACTACCGATTGCCACACCCATGCTGTCCTATTCCAGTGTTCGCATTACGGTCTTGAAGGTGATGGTAAATAATTTCGGTCAGATGGTATCGTGCTGCGTAACCCCACTTTTGACGTCGACGTCAACATCCTTATGGCTTAGTAATATTCTGTATCTAAAGTTTTTCCATACCTAACGAAGAATCCCTTTAAGCGGAGCTGCCCTCGCTCACGAGTGCTTCCATGACTGCTTCTACCTTACCTTTTTCAAGAGCTCTTTTTTAGCGTTGATGAAGGTGATATCAAGCAGTCTGTTGCACTCTCGCAATACTTCGATGTGTGCTGTTATTAGACGGGTCTATCGTACTCAATCCACTTTGGTACCCTGCTTGCACATATGGGCCTCCTTCGTTCGCTGTTCTCTCAGTTCTGTTTAAGAAGACTTGAGTGAAAAGTTTGAAGGCGATAAATAGAAGTCAGATTGGGTGGCAGTTTCCGATATCGTAGAGGCAACTCTTCCTGAACAATAACACGGCTTTGTTGGTGTTCCACTGAATAGGTGTGTTGCATTCTAGCATGTAATGTGTGAAGGGTTGAAGCAGTGTGCTTATGAGGATTTGCGCTTGGTTCAACAGAGGGTAGCGACGTCTTGTCTCGGCCGGGCCGATGACGTCGTACTTTATCTTTCTTGCTTGCATGAGCAAGTCTTCTACGGAGGACACGGATGTAAGTGTACGTGCACTGTAGGTACGGATCATCATTTTAATCTCTGCGATTTAGACAGTTTAGAATGGTCCTGAATGAAAGAATAGCAACAAGGATTTAAACAAGACTGAACAAACGAAAGATTATTAGACGTAATTTAGGTTCGTTTCAAATGGCGACCTTCAATATTATTGAGGGAAGAGAATAAAAAATCTCTACGCCTCTTGAGGTGGTATTTACGAAAAATTTGATAAAGTGTTTGGAAAAAGTTTTCCGTTTCGATGTCTAAAGGCTTACTTAGCAAATTTTTCATAAAATCTAGGGAAGGGCAAGATCGTGAATAACAAGGCTGAGAGAGTGCCGCTGTTCCAAACTTTAAGTCGAGCCCAATGGTCTTTAGACTTTAGAGTGTCCCAACTTTAGAGTGTTTTAGAAATTGAATTCATCATTCTGCACCAGGTTGGAAGAAGGACGTTTTAATATCAGTGGTTTTCATTCTGAAAAAGAATTAATCTTGGTTATAGATGTTTTATGGATAATGGATTTGGGAATCAAATGCTTGAAATGAATCCGATAGTTGGTGCAGTAGCCCGAGGAAGGTGAATGTTGTAATTCCAGTTCTGACTAATCTTTGGGACATCAGCGATCCGGAATTTTGAAAAATTCTCAGCACCGTTGTGCTTATATTCCACAGCACGTCCTTGCATAAAAAAAGAATAGGCAGCAAATAAAAACTGACTGCAAAGCAATTTCTGAGAATTAAGCAGTTACGTTTTACCTGGAACACGTAAGGAGCAGTTAATGGAAAGCGAGTACTACCAAGTTTATGTCTCTTGCTGCTCGACTATTCGCACTTCTCCTAGAATTTCTCGACAATAGAGACGGATTGTAATCGCACTCCGGCCAGATACAGGGAGTCGTTTACTCGCTGAACCCGCTTACTTCTGAAGATAAGAATGTGATCGGATTTAATCCCAGTTCGCCTCTTGGAATCGCATTACGTAGCCTCGTAACTACACCCTTCTTATTTGCTCACACACATGAATGATGTGTTTGATTGCTTGTACTGTACGTTTCGGTGATAGTGGAAGGATTTCGGTACACCGCTGCCACGCACTGACTGCTCTTTTTGAGATGGAATATTATTTATCTTCACTGTTATTACTGTAAATCTTACCTTTTGCCATTATTACAGAACGTTAAATTCTCGCAGAAATAGTGAGATAAGCGTAGAGCGCAGTGGTGAACGGTGCTTTGTAATAGAATAGGATCGATTGCTGGTTTAATAAAGTCCTTCGAGCTAACCAAGCCTTCCATTCCTCACGAAGCAGCAAAATGGTACGAGACTCATTTGAAAGGATAGCAGCACTGACTCGATACATCGAGAGCGACGGTATGTCATTCTGTAAGCCAAATATGCATTGAATAACCTCTACGATGCTTGAAGAAAGTGCGTGGTGCATTTCTCAGTAATGGGTTAAGTGAGTAACCGCTATTTGACTTTTCTCTACTTTATGGACGATGGATGCAAGCGATCCTCCTTTTTCACTTTGCTTTACAGAATTCTGTTGGGAATACCATCTGCCTCACGCCCTAACTTTTATCCAATAAGAGAAAACGTTTAACGCTGGCGAAACTAAGTGAAAATTTAATGGGCAGTAA